TTCTATAAATTTGACCCATATATATATATATATATATATATATTACATATAGATTATTAAAAAAGAAATATTATATATATGTAAATATTTTCTAAATATGTAAAACATTTCTAATTAGCATATATTATTATTACACTAATAACTGTCTATATAAAAAGAAAAAAATTGCATCGCTAAAAACAAAAATAGACCATTGCATCAGAGCAAGTGAAAAATGGAACTTAATATAATATATATAATATCTTAATATATATATATTCTTGTTAGAACCAGTGGCCCAATGTATAGCAAAAAGGCAAGCCAAAAACTATTGTAATAATTACGTTATAATTAAAAGGACATTTTAATGCAGCAGTGCTGTTCATGTTCTTTGTGCTTGGATTCCTTTTAGTAGGTTAATAATTGTGACTATATACTTTTAAGGTTTAATGACTTGCAAGGCAACTGCACATCACAGTGGGTCTAAATAAGAACATCTCTCTCTGTCACAGGCACTGCTATGTTGAAACGCGTTAGATATGACTGATGTCGAGGTGACATATGAAGACTTCATCGCCTCTGGAAGGACCGGCCGACGCAATGCTGTACACGACATCCTGGGAAGCTCCGGTGGCCTGGACGCTAGCGGACTCTCCCAAACTCTGTCTGAGCTTAATATCAGCAAAGCGGGTGAGTAGAGTTCAGTGTTACTTCTTCAGAAAGAACATGGAGTGTCATCAAAACACTGCAGTAATGTAATATGGCACTGAGAGGCAGGCTGGCCATGAATAATGCACCAGACAAGCCTGCTTTAGGCAAACTAGAGAGTTTAGAGGGCATGTTAGTGGCTTCCTGCACCAGTTCTTAGCACAAGACAAACACGGATGTGCTTTATCAAATATAGGCCTGTTAGCTGAAGGCATCCCTGTGAAAAAGCATAGCAGCGACTGCAAAACAGCCTCAGTATCCACTAGTTTATCAAAACCATCTGTCTTTTGTTTCTGTTTTTGTTTTCACTAACAAAACTCTCTATGTTTTGCTCTCAGAGGCAGGGAATGATGAAGAGAAAAGCCAGAGCTTGGCAGACTCCGAACCCAAGCAGGAAGAAGGCAAAGGGGAAGGTACATAACAGACTTCAGTGACAGAATCAGGAAATACCCCCTCTAGTGGCTGATTTTAAAACTGAGCATGGAGGGGTTGACATTGAAAGTAGGGAACATCACTCTCCCTTAAGGATCCGGATGGAGGAGACTTTGCTTTGAGGAAGCTACTGTGAAAGGCTGGGCCTTAAGAATCACAGCGTTGCTGTTTTTCGACAGCGAACGCTACTTTAGCTGATGTAGGTATGATTTGTACTTAGAAATTCACTTTAGTTGTTTGGTACTTAGAGTGACTGGTGGGACTTTGGGCCAGAAGTAATGACATTAGATTGGCGAAGACACTCTTGGGAGATCACATGGATCTTATTTGGAACGCCACCCGCTGACCACTTGATTTCGGATTCACCTATTAACTGCCAGAGTAGTGCAGCTAATACGCACTCAATGTTCAGTCATTTTATAGGTGTAGTAGTGTTGTAATAGTAATATCAGATTTTGATATTAAATTGTGCTGTCTTTGATATCATGTTGATATTCACATAATATAAGTGCTGCACATTTGTTAAACACTCATTGAGTTCAGATTAAACTGTCTGTGATGGTCTTGCATGGCACTGCTCCTGACAGAACCTGTGTGTAACTGTTCACATCCCGCAAAGGACTAATCATTTGTGATCCGAACATTTGCAGCGTGTGGTGATGCTAATTCCTTGAGTGTTTTATGATGAAAATTCTTCTTGTATTATGAAATCTAGCGTGATTTGAAGTCTGACTGACACTGCCTATTAACCCTTTTGAAAATGTGTTCAATAGAGCTTGCCTTATCAAACCTCTGCCCATATTTTGTCTTCCAGTCATTAGCTCTACGTCTATATATAAGCATTCGTTATAGTCGTTTCGTTATTTAAATTTTTACATATATTTATTAATGTATTTATTTTTTATTTGGCAAGTTATTGACTATGATTTATTGTATTAAAGATTATTCATAATATTATATATTGTATTATATTATATTCGTCAATAACCATATATGCTCTATACTAAGACAGTGACAGTGAAATCCCACTCGATGGCGCTGTTCACTCACAAATCTCTTATATTTCAAGTGCAGCTCCACCTAATGAGTGATTGAAGCCAGTGCACAATCACATCATCTATTTTGGAGTATTATATCCGTTCCTTTTTAAATGTCAGTTATGTTTAATTACATTGTATATATTTAGGTGCCTATAGCTGTATAATATTTTTAAAAGTGCATTGTTTTTGCTTTCTCTCCAATATATGGCAATATTTAGCAATGTAATTTCTTTTCCTGATTAAAATGGATTTATTTATACATCATGACAGGAAGAAATGAATCACACGTCTGGTCAGCTATCCTTGTGGGGACTCTCCATAGGCGTAATGCTTTTTCTACTGTACAGACCGTATATTTTATTGCCCTACACCAACCCTACACCTAAACCTACCCCTTACACTTTGTGCATTTTTAGATTTTCATAAACACACACACGTCTGGTTTGCTATCCTTGTGGGGACTCTCCATAGGCGTAATGCTTTTTCTACTGTACAGACCGTATATTTTATTGCCCTACACCAACCCTACACCTAAACAGGAAACTTCCTGCATTTTTAGATTTTCAAAAAACTTCATTCTGTGTGATTTATTAGCTTGTTTACCCGTGGGGACCTCAATTTAGGTCCCCACCATGACACGAGTTCCCATGAGTCTGTGTGTATTCAGGTTTAAGTCCCCACCAGAATAGAAAAACAGGTACACTGTTGCTTAATATGTGAAAACCTAACTGCAACAGGCATTCAACACGCTTAAATGGATAGTTCAGCCAAAAATGTAAATTCTCTCATCAATGACTCACCCTCATGTCCTACCAAAATCCATATGATTTTATGTGGAGCATAAAACGAGAATTTTTGAAAAATATCCTGCTGCTCTTTTCCAAATGGGAACTGGAGTTGGTAAGTACTAAAATAACAAAAAAGAACAATAAATGTGGTGCAGTAGACTCATGCAATATATTTCAAGCCATAAACAATATTGTATGAGGAACAGACTGAGATTTAATACATTATTTGCTAAAAATATCTGATGTAGCTCTTAAATCAAATGTGGTGCCATTGATGTCAAAGACTTCTGGTCACATGACTCACGGGAGCCAATGATTTTTGCATCACTGACATCAAAATGTATGCAAAGCTATTGTATGGCTTTAAAAAACTAAAACTAAAAAAGAAAAAAGAATTCTCATTTTTGAAGAACTAAAATCACTAAAACTACAAATTAAAAATGATTTTAAAACTATATAGACATACATGAAAACTGAAAATATAAAAATAAAAATGGATCCAAATTAAATAAAAACTAAAAACCTATAATAGTATCTCAATGATACTAAAATAAAACGGGCACCCAGACTATTCTTAAAAAAAAAGTAAAAAAAAAAAGTTTGGATTTGGAGTAGTAGAGGGTGAGTAAATGATGAAGAATTTTTAACAATAAATCAGTAAAACTGAAAAATTATAGATAGGTGCATAGACAAAAGCTAATGAAGAAGAAAAAAACACACCAATCAAAAAATCCCTGTAACATTTTAGTCATACAACAACTTCCATCAGGCTTACATGATCATAATATTAAATATTAAATAATTATTTGATAATAATTTCGGTCATCAACTCTTAATAAAGAAATTAAAAGCTTTTATGCTCACAAAAAATGACAACACCCTCAAATTGAAGTAAATATATTAATTTGCTGCTTAATTATTAATTGATTCTTTTTCAAAACTTGGCAAAGCAGGTGATTTGGAGTTTTAAATCAGATGAACTTGTGCCCACCTGGCCTCCTCGCGTCGCCACCCACGGCGTGTCACTCACACAGGAAGTGATATTGGCTGTCCTGTCGCTGCTTGTTAACAGCTGGTTCACTAATGATCCTCTGCCTGTCGGCTCACGGTGCAGCGTGGAGGGAGAGCCGCAAGCGGCGTCCTCATCAGTCCTGTCGGCCCGTCTCAGCACACCGCCTGCGGGGAAAAGACCCTCGGCACTGCACGCTGGTGAGCTGCAGGTTTCACGTCATGATCTAGCAGATCAAGGGTGATTGTAATTAGACAGTGACATCGGCTGGCAGTGGGATACTTGTAATGAGGGCCATGGGGTGGTCTTATGTAGAGACAGAGTGAGTGAGAGAGAGAAGCGGAGATATCACGCATTTATGTTTTATAAGGATTACCGGCAAAGGTCCGGCTCAACAGCTATATAGAGAACAGAGTGCTAAACAAAAGGAGGACAGAGAAACTCAGGAGGAGACAGCTTGACTCTGCCACGCACAGCCTCTAAAGGCACGACTGACTGCTTGTCTCTGAGCATATGGGTGTGAGGCCAAGAGGTACAGTATTGGTTGGAAGTAGGGAGGCAAAACTTTGCCAGGCTTTAACAGTACAGCACTCTGAAAATTAGTTAATAAGCTCCACACAGATTCATTTGATACTATACAAATTTCTGGCAGTGAATTATTAAATGAAGCATTTTCCCCCAAATAATAGCTTTGGGGTAAAGTGGGCCACATGCTTCATGTGCAAGCAACTAAAAGTAATGTCTTTCTACTTTAATTGTAGAAAGTAATGTTACATACAATTATACAATTGTAAAATTTTATACAAAAACAAAAATGACTTTACTACATAAAAATTGGGAATATTAAACATCCCACAACTTCTTAATTCATTCCCTCATTTTAGTAAATCGTGTCAACGTTGCATTCATTTGTTTACTTAATTTTGATTTAATTAATAAATATTATATATATATGAATATGTGAAGCAAATATGTTAATAATTCGACAAAAATGAGAGAGCTATGATATTAGTTTGCTTTAATATGTATATGACTAATGTTGACTATTGAACTGATTCATTGGGATATATATATATATATATATATATATATATATACTGTATATATATATATATATATATATATATATTACATAAAGTTTATTTGAAACATTCTCATAATCCCCAATTAATCAGTTCAATAGTCAACATTAGTCATATTTGAGTCAGATTTTAAATGTGCATATTAAAGCAAACTAATATAGCTCTCTCATTTTTGTCGAAGAATTATTCACATATTCATATTCGCATCACATATTCATATGCTACTATAAACATATTATGGCAAGAAACTAATATTGATATCTTTCCTCTTTAATTGTGAAATACTGCTACAAATACCATTGCAAAAAAAATCTGAGAATATATAAATAAAAAATAAAGAAATCTTCCTCTATGCTTTCACTATTCCTTAATGCCTCCGTATTCTAAACGATGTCTAAAACATTGTATTACTAGCACTTTTCGTGTTTATTGCCTCTTTATGATGAATCGCTCGTTGTATTTAGAAGTCGCTTTGGATAAAAGCATCTGCTAAATGAATAAATGTAAATGTATATGAATGTTAAACATCCAGGCTGATTTATGCAAATGGTAATAATGTGCAGGGAAATAAGATTTTAGAATGGGATTGTGTGAGTCATGTTTGAGTTATATTTGAAGTTTTCATGTTAATGCAAGCTAATGCTACAGCTTTCTCATTTCTGTGCATAGGAGACATAGAAGGATAGGAGAACAACTTAAAGGGACAGTTTACCCAAATATGAAAATTGAGTTTACTCATCCATGTTGTTCCGACTTTCAATGTAATACAAAAGAAGCTATTTTGCAGAATGTTTTTAATTATTTTTGTCAATATAATACAAAACAACATTGGACCTCATGACTTTCTTTGCATTGATGAAATCTTCTTTTCATTTTTGTTCCATCAGTCCCTTTTAGTTAAAAGTAGCACATTGTCATTGATACATCAGTCACAAACAGTGAAATCGGTGCCTATAATTATCCTAATAATTTACTTCCATTGTTTATTTATGTTTTTCACACATTTCCCGCCTGAAACAGATAGAGTGACCCATCGGCTTGTACATAACGCCCAGTATTAAAGAGCAGACACAGTACAGGACTTAAATGTGTGTCTCAGCTGGCTGTGATATATCAGTCTCTTCAAAGTGCAGACCATGCTGTACACTCACACAAATACATACATTGTTTAAGCCTTCCACCTCACAGATTACAATATTATTTCCTGGCAGTTTGTGAAATGATTCATATTTATTACCGCTTAATATAACAATTTTTCTTATTTATCTGTCAGCTGGAGCCAAAATACATAAATCAAATATATAGGGATGCAGACTGTAACAATATGTAATTACCACAGTGTCTGGGCCTTCTCCCAATAAACACAATTACAGTGACGCATGTTGCTCATATTGGGTCAGATTTTACAGGGCGGCAGACTTTTATGATTCTCACACAGTCTCCACATGTTTATGTGTCGCAGTGTCTCTGAGTGACCGATGCATCGGCTGTTGTTGTACACTTTCCTAACAGAATCCAGAGCCAAAGGGCTGCAGCATTCGGTGGATTCAAACTAACGATGCTTCGAATCATTAAGAATTTGAATGTGACTTGCAAGAAGTATAAGTGTACTTTGCATCTGGGTACAACAAAAAGTGTTCAATCTCAAGCACAACCAACTAAATAATAAGACAAGACTGAATCGATGTAAATAATTTTTAGTGTAGTTTTCTTACTAGTTCGCATTTTCACTCTAATTCTCAGCTTCTCTGCCTTTATAATAATGTTTTATTTATTTATCAAACACCATTTTCTCTGTGAGAAAATAACCAAAAATTAAAATTCTCTCCCTCATTCACCCTCATATCGTATTGAATTCATAAGATTTTCT